TTCCCGCCTCGGACCGGTACTTTAGTACGCGGTGTAAACGCAGTAAGCAAGCAGTCTGGGGAAAAAAAGTTCCTGTGAAAAAAGTTCCTGGGACAAATAGTTCCTGGTAATTGCGGTGGAAACGCGGCTATACACAACATGCAGAGCAGTGGGTCGCGAGGACTGGAGTTGAGATCCCCTGACCTAAACTAAAAGAAAAGAACACAAAAGTACAGGAAAATAATCTAACTGTCTAGAAAACACAGCAGATCCTGGGGCCCAACAGAAGGAGGCAGAGATAGCGATAGTGGAGAACCCCGCAAAGCCGTGAGGACAAAGACCCATGGCGAAGTTACAGACTTAGAAGACCAAGGCGACACTGCCGGCTTGTGTGGCAGAGGCAAAAACAGGGTGGAGCCAAATCAGCACAGACGGAAGGAAGAGGAAGCATGGTGGAGCCCAAATGACATCGGACCATTACGAATCTGAAGAAGAGTAGAGCCAGGGTGTAGCCAATGAGCTGATAGGTTGAGTCCTGGGGACTGGACGGAGCCAGCGGTGATGGATACAATGGGGTTGGCAGGTGACAGAGTGGATGTAAATCATCTGGAGTTTCGAGGGACTAGGCAGAGCCAACAGTGATGGAAACAATGGAGTGGGCAGGTGACATGGTGGGAGAGGATCATCTTAATAGGTTACCAGGTGTGCTGGCTCTGTCGAGAAGTTGATGAGCCAGCGCTCCTCGACTGGCTCTTGAGAAGTCTGCCCCCATAGCCGAACTTCAGGATGTACCTGGTTATGGACTCTTGCCTCAGGTGGAGGTTCCATCCGACTCTAGCTCAGAGACAGACGCATTGGGAGGACTTATGCGGTGGGCTCTCACACATGGTCAGTGACAGGCGCCAACTGCGATGGCTCATGACAGGTGCTAACTCTGGCCCCCAAAATGCGCCTTAGGGTGGTGATGATGCGTTTTGGGGTGGTGATGGTGCAGTGGATAAGACACATGCCTTTGGTATGATAGACCCAGGTTCGAATCCACTGCGAGACACCAATGTATCCCTGAGCAAGACACTTAACCCCTAGTTGCTCCAGAGGTCGTGGGACCTCTGACAAATATAGCAATTGTAAGTCGCTTTGGATAAAAGCGTCAGCTAAATGAATAAATGTAAATGTAAACACAAACTTTGGAGAACGGGTATCACAGTACACATTTTTTTAAAACGGTTCCGTTATTGTCTCAATGTTAAATACAAAAACACTAATTTGTGAAAACAGTGACATCATGTGTATTACGTGTTCATTCTATAGGCGAGTTTGTTTCTTTACGAAGTGACATCGCCAACTTCTGGCATGGCATGATAGTTAGTGCAGCGCGCTGATCCGTGTGAACGGAGATCATTTTAACAATGTTGTAGTCTGTACGTGAAATATGCAAGCCGTGTAAACGTACCCTGCAAGGCTATACTGTACATGAAACCAAGACACAGATAGAATCCTAACAGTTCCGAAGATAAACACAAGTCTTATAGGTTTGGAATGACATGAAGTTTGGTGACGAGAACCAATGAGCATAACTTTTACACACAAGTTTTCACACTTGCACAAGTTTTAACACTGTTCAAACACAGGGAAGTACTACTCACGAAAGAAAATTAACGTTGGAGCGCTCATCTGGTTTTGAATGTATGTAGATCTGTGTATCGTCGGCATTCAAATGATAATGGAGGCCGAGCGATCTCGAAGGATAGCCAAGTGGTGATAGATAGATGTTAAAAAGTAAAGGGCCCAGCACTGACCCCTGGGGAACACCAGTGAGAACAGAGCTAATCTCAGAACTATGGTCACCCATTGAGATGAACTGGGAATGGTCAGCAAAGTAGGACCGAAACCACTTCAAAACTGTCCACGTCACACCAGACACTTCTCTCAAGACGTGTGAGCATTAGACTATGGTCAACAGTGTCAAAAGTGTCCATATTGAATTTGGTCTCACTATATTGGTACTTAGTACAAACTTGACTGGTAAAAATTACTGGTGGGCAATGGAGGAAAGCCTCGTTCCTAACTGTTTGACGTAATGTGAAAATTACGAATTGAGAAAATGGAAACAATTCCATTGGACAATCCGGCAGTGTGTTTCAGGGCATCTGGCACTGTTTATGTAATTACCAGAAGCACATGTTAATGAGAACCAGCTGTGAATTTGTTTTCAGGAGACCGAGCGCCTGCACATGGAGCAAGTCTTGCTGCAGAGGCAGGTGAGCTTCCTGCAACAGGAGAAGGAACAGCTGAAAACGCTGCTGGCGTCCCATGCAACTACCTGCACACTGGCACAGGACAAGACTCATTCCTTGGATAACTTTCTGTCAAGAGAGCTTCAACCATCCAGAAATTCCATCGCGATTAAACAGGAAACTTTGGATGATGTTAGCGGGTCAGAGAGTTTGGCGATCCAAAATGCAGACATGCAGTGGAACTGACAGAGAAAAGCCACGACTTACACTAAATTCTGTGAAGATGATGCACTAGAGCTTTTTAATCAAATATATTTGTAAATACATAATTACCCCAACCTTACGCAAGAGACATTCTGGATTCAATATTCAACTTTTCCTGTGGTAAGAAACCCATTCCAGATGGGGATGAAATCACTTCTGGTGGTCTGTTATAACTTTTTTCCCCCCCTTATTTGTCGAATGACATGATAATTAGTCTATTATACCATCTGTCTTTGAAATAGTGATACTTTGTAACAATGGCTGTTAATGTTTGGTATTTTTAAATGTGGTAAGTCTTACTCAATGCACTGACCTTATACTGTACATGTATCTGATTTGTCAAATACATAACAAGGGCTTGAGAAAAAGAACATCCTGATGTTGAACATATTGAACATTGTTGCCAATCGTGCAGACTGAATTACCAAGGTAACGTTATCTAGTTGGCTTTAACGTTAATGATTTGTAATGGTTAGAAAGGCACCAGATAGAATGGTTTGAAAATTATAAACCAAATCAATGATGTTTAACACATCACAGCGTATCATTTTCTCGCCAAAGTGTGTTTATGAATTTATAACTGTCAATATATCTTTTTTTTAAATAAAAAAACATGTTTAAATTTGTGAACTATAATAATTATATTAAATAGAAATCAGAAATACGTAATTTCATTTGTGTGTGTGTGTGTGTGTGTGTGTGCTATACTGCAAAATTATCAGCAAATCTCTGTTTTGAACAGAAAGCACAATAACTGTTGGTTATACTTTTTAAATTCTGTAACTTCATAAGTGTACAAATACATATTATACATATTCGGTCTGTAATAATTACAATTTACGACTATTACGAACCCACTGACTATCATTGTATAGACAAAAATATAACAAAACAAAACATTTTTCTAAATATCTCCTTTTGTGATTCACAGAAGAAAGAAACGCACATAAGTTGAGTAAATGATGACACAATTTTCATTTTTTGGCGTACTATCCCTTTAAGGATTTAGCTTAAACTTTCAGTACATGCAACAAGATAGAACATGCCCGATGGAGACTATGTTGACATCTGCAAAGGAGTGGCAATACTCAGGCACACATGAAGAGCCCCCTTCCATTACATTCCATTACAAAAGGAGGAGGATTTCCACTACGCTGTGGGCATGAGTTCCTGTTTGGGATTTGGGAATTTGACTTTCAATTCACACAGGCTTTTGCGTTTTCTATTTATAGGTCACAGGATATTGTGAAAAATCCCCCAAACTTTTAATAGTTTTCTTCAGGTGTGAAGAAGGAAGAGTACTGTTAGGTGTCCGGTGTTCACACGGAGATGTAACCTTGACTCACGTTTCCTTTGATAAACAAAACTTAGCATTTTACTCAATCAGTAAGATGGAAAACTAGGCTACTGTAGGCCAGATGTTACTCTATATTCAAAAATGTCTTGTAAACTTTTTAACACTTATATTATCACATTGTCATAATGATTAGCAATGTTTAATTTCTAAGATTATTTCAAATCACTTTCAATGCAACCATGGAATAATTAAGGGGGGGGGGGGGGGGGGGGGGGGGCTTGACTGGAAGTTTGTCACACAACCACAGATCTCAGATCTTTTATCTCAACAAAGAGATCAAGACAAAATAAACCACCAATGAAAATATCCACTGACCTAAAGAAATGTAATTTCATAGAAGTAATTTAATAGAAGTTAAATTATTAGAAGTATTCATTAGAAGAAGTAATTTAGTAATTTCATAAATGTAATTTTCATAAATATTTTAATGTAGATTAAAATAGTAAACTATTTTAATTGTAATATTTGACAAAATTACTGTTTTTTTCTGTATCAAATAAATGCAGGCTGATGAGCATAAGAGACTTACAAAAGAATAAAAAAATGTTTCCAAACATTTGACCGGTACTGTCCTGAACATTTTTGTAAGTGGAACTTGTCCATTGTTCATGTGATGACATACAAAAATCAAAAGTTTATTAGCATCAATCGTTCGGTTTCATGAGGAGCCTTAAACATCATTGGAACCAATTTCCATTAGAAACAAAGAATCTTTTAAGAACTGTTAGGCCTACTTAAATCAATGGTTATTTTGGAAACCTAAAATGGTTCTTCTGTATGGCATCACTTTGAAAACACAATTTTTGGAATCTTATTTTTAAAAAGTTCTCTGCAGTTGGACACCTGTGTGAACTGACTTCATACATCGATTAAACACCTAAGTATAATTACAAAAATGACTAAGAAGAGTTGAGTTCTGAGTTCTCTTTGTCATCTAATGTTTTCATTGTCTTTACTTGCGTCATTAAATATGTCTAGCTAAATACTTCAAACCAAAATGTATCTATCTATTACAAAGAAAAACAAAGAAACAAAGAAAACCTCTGGAAAAAATTCGTAGCCTCTAGCAAATCCGGACAGGCAGACACTCCTCGCGTTCACACTTGCAGGCGTGGTTCCGAAATCCACTTCCCCCTCACCCGCATCATTACAAGTAAGTTACACATCACCAGAAACTTGGGAGACTTTAACAGTGCTTGCTTGAATGTAACTGAGCAGAGAGAAGGAAGTAGGCTACTCCAATATTATGGCAGACAAAGGACCTATTTTGACCTCAGTCATCATTTTCTACTTGTCCATCGGAGCCGCGATATTTCAAATTCTCGAAGAGCCTAATTTGCAATCGGCTTTAAAAGATTATAAAGATAAAACTGACATATTATTAAATAAATATCCTTGTTTAAAGAAGGATGATCTGGATGATATCATTAAGGTAAGCTGGCAAACGATTTGGCTGGTTATGTAAACTTTTTAGAAAGTTTTCAAGTGTTTTCAAAGTGTTTATCAAGCGTCGATTGTTGCCAACATGTACCGTTGCTATGGTGCTCTCAAGCACAAGCGATTGAGAAAGTCAACTCTTTTAGCTGGTTTTGTTTCGCATGTAGCCTACGCATGGGCTACAGAACTTTCATACAAGTGTAGGCTTTACGAAACAAACCGAGACCTTGTCGTAAACGTGTCAAATATCTGTAGGTGACGGGGTTCGGGATACTAAAAAGACTGAAGCGCTATTGTTTCATGTTTGTGGACTTTTCCCCCATGGGCAATAAAAGTGGCGTAGTCATTCTCAGGAATGTGCCTTGCCAGCCACAATGTACACTCGCTCAAGCGCGACAAAGTACCACGAGAAAGCGCGCGCCCACGTGCTATGTGGAACGAATAGCAAAACAAAGCAATCTTGTGCGTTTTTGATTGTTTCGCTTTGATGCAGTTTGTGAGTTATTATTCAAAACTACCTTCAAAACTTCTAGATATAATCTTAATATTATTTCCCCGACAACTGAATTAAGTATAAGACAGACAATGCACTTGTGTTGTGTGTAACATCTAAATTACATGTTTGAAACAGGATCATTTATCACCAGTGAACATTTTACTGCAACTGAGAAGAACCAGTCAATTCCCTTGCAGAGGCTACACAATTACTGAAAAGATGAACTAGTTTAAATTCTGTCATAGGCTTCTATAAGAACATTTTATGAAGAACACCAGCCTAGGAAATGGCCTTCTGTGTACATTAGTGCAGATGCTTGTTTCACAACTTTCAGTATTTGGTTTACAGTATTGATACAGTAAGGATAAATATTATTTATGTAATTTTTTTTTCTGTGTGTTTTCAGTTTGTTTTGGGATATGTTTTCTAATATGGCACTTAACATTTTAAGTGCATGTCATTTAGACTCTCTAAGGCTCTAATTGTTTGATATTGAATTAGCTGATTAAATAGTGCTATACCATAGTGCTAACATGATTATATTAAAAAACATCGTATTTGTTTCTTGGGTGTGATGTAACATGATGTGGCTAAATAAAACCTGTTCAACAGGTTTTCATACTACGATACTGGGGTGATGTGTTTTTATTTTTTTTTGGCATTGATCTTTTTGTTTAACCAAAGAACATTTCAGCAAAAAGTTCTTAACATTGAATCTAAAGAACCTTATTCCTATATAAAGAACAAGTTGTGCAACAGAACCATAGATGCCAATAAAGAACCTTAAACAAGTAGTTTCAGTGACAAGTCAGTATGAGATCAAGACTGTAGGGCGTCCCACTCTTTTAGTCATTTTGGTTAGGGTGTGTTTGTTTGCTTGGCCGCTAATTTAGGCATTTAAATAATAGCTATGTTTACCGTCTGCGGAGATAGGCTGACTCGTATTAGTGTATATGAAGACAGGGCTTTATTTTGCTGATATCTTTACAAATGCTTAACACTCTTCCTCTTTTCCTGTTGTTTGACTGTCTGACGAATGGAAGCCCGTTTCCGTCTCTGAGTAAAAAATAAAACCGTTAACTGTAAGATAAGGTGTAAAATATGACTTGAAGTTGCAATTGTGGAATACGTTTTTAATTATTAAGTCACAGTTGTGACATTAAGTCTTATGGTGAAAACCGGTTTCTATTACTACTAATGTGATTTAAAACACAAATGAAATAAACCCTAAAGCTGCATCTAATTATAGCTTGTAAAGGTGAAGAATTTTTCATTCATCCCCATTGTTTACATATAAACATTGTGTATTTCTTTTCAAGTTTCAGACTCTGTTCACAGTATACTCAGTTGACATTTGTATTCATTGTTATATATTGTAATTCATATTTTGTTTAATGTTTCAACATCAGGTTATGGCCGAGGCCGCTGGAAGAGGTGTGACTGTAACAACAGAGAAACAATTCAACAACTGGAGTTGGGAGAATGCCGTTATTTTTGCTGCCACCGTCATCACTACCATAGGTAGATATTCCTATAGAGACGCGTTTTTTTTTTTTTTAAATGGCAACGATAATTACCTATTAATTGTTATTTAAGTGAAATTACTGAACTTAAATATACAAGTTTGATAAAAATCATCATTAAAGAAGAAAATTTCAAATGGCATTTAGTGGCTTTTGCATCTGAACTCTTCATATATATATATATATATATATATATATATATACACTGTATACAGTGTATTATTTACTTACATACTTTGCATGTGACGTCACAAGTACTGGCTGGCAGGCACGAAATTCTTTCTCTAGCAACGAAACAAACTAATCAAGGATCTTGCCAGGTCGTCCCCAGTTTTAATATACTAAAGTTGGTGTTTTGAGGTGTAAACGACATGCCAGATAGTTTTTGTGCAATTGGATGCACTAATGTCAAGAACGCGTTCATCTGTATTTGATTTGATATATGATATGAGAAGATGAATACATGGAGAATGAATGACATTTTTACTGTTGTACTGCATCTACTTTTTACTTACAGTTACTTTGCATGCATACTATCGTACACTTATGACTATACTATAACAGATTTCTAACAGGATTAGACACATTCCATTGCTCTTGTCTGTTGTCAGATGCTATGTGGAATGGATAAGCAGGTAGGCTACAATGTTTGACATCCTACTAGCCATATATGATACAGTTGGCATACGTTTTTATTTTGTACTACTTATCAAGCTGTCATTCGCAGGCAGGCAGTGTATACATATACAGATGACTTCATCACACGATGTCACTTTGTGTACCTTATAGCTGCAAATATTAGCAAACGGACCTTTGCTTTGACTATGAAGATATTCCTGTTTTTCACCTCCCATACGACAGTGTTGTTAACCTATCCACTCTTGAAAAAAAAGATAGCTATCTGTACTTTTGTAGGCTTTCATTTTTTGTGCGGTGTAAGGTGACGAATTCTCTATATGTAACGTTAAAGTTGCTGGTAGAGACTTTACCAGCTTCAAAGCAATGAAAACAGGTGCTGTGTATGGATCACACGTTCCGAGAATGTTCATCTTTTCTTGATGTCTAATTTTAGATATCCGTGACAAATGGTCTAAATAGTTAATTGATTGTAGTATTGGAAATTTGCAAGGCTGCAATTCCCCTGGCTGGCCACTGTTTGTCGCCATTTTGTCAGCGTTTGTTGCCGCCAGGTATCCATGGTGGTCATGTGACTGCAAAGTATGAATATATATCCTATCCTAGCCTACCACTGGAAAAAAATCCATCTTTCTTTTAAATGTCTGTGTTATAAGAGTACGTTCGGCCGTTTAGCGAAGCTAATTGCTGTATAGCCTATATCCAATTTAGGCTTGGGGTCTGCCTTCATTTTGTAACTGTTGTTTGAATGGTAGTTTAGTAAATTTGTTTGGTTTGGCGTGTCCTTAATCTAACAGCCAGTTAATGTTGATTTAACCCTGAATAAGCTGGGTTAATTCATCCTTAAAAGAACGATTTGTTGAGTAAAACAAGTCTTTAGTTTTCGGTGTCAAAGTATTATTATTAGTATTTGATTGAGTCGAGTGTCAGTTGGATTTAAGTACAATAATGGTTCCCAGATCTCCTATTGACAGAAAACAAATATTTAACATGGACTTGTCTACTCAATGATTTCAGGTTACGGTAATGTTGCCCCGAAGACAACTGGAGGCCGTATGTTCTGTATCCTGTATGGCCTCTGTGGCATTCCTCTTTGCCTCACCTGGATAAGTGAGCTGGGTACTTTCTTTGCCGGCAGGGCAAAGCGCCTGAGTCAGGTGCTCCTCCACAGAGGCCTCGCCGTGGTAAGAATATCATGATCCGAGTCTTTCACTTGTCTAAGAGAAAGACAAAGAAATTTTACAATTTCCCTGTTCATGTTTTCTCCTTCACTACAGAAAAAAGTGCAGTTCATCTGCACTCTTGTATTCCTTTTATGGGGTTTCCTGGTTCACTTGATCATCCCAGCCTTTGTATTCATGACCATTGAGGACTGGACTTACTTGGAAGGCCTGTATTTCTCTTTTACCACCATGACGACTGTTGGTTTCGGTGACTATGTAGCAGGTATGTACATTTGTACATTTTTGCTGCATGCAACATGTAAGGTTTCTGTGATACATTTATATCATGCACACTTGCACAGATTAATACACAAGCTGCAGGACACTATTAGCAGCATGTTAGCCAGTGTTCAAAGCACCAAATGAGAGTAAAAGTCAAAAGATTTGAAACGGTGTTACTTGCCAGTTGCCCCGGTAATTTTGACAATGCATGGTAGTGATAATGTGATTATGATTTAGTACAATAATCAAATCTCAACAGTTGTGATCTAATTATATAAATATATAGTGTGATGGGGGTGCATGTTTTGCCTTGGTAGAACTGTAACAGTACTGCGTTTTCAGTTTCGATTCTCAGTAAATGCTACTCTGCAAGTGTTATGTGTTTGATTGATTCGCTTATATGTTTGGAAGTGCAACATTCACCTTGAGAATCGTTTCTAAATCTCTTGTTGTATCAACAAAGAGAGGCGATATTGTCTCCCAGCAGTTTTCCGCCAAAATAAAAGCTCAATGATTTAACGTTTGTAAAATTAATAATAATTATAGTAAGAATTAATAAAATTTATAATAATAATAACTCTAGTAATACGTTTGTTATAACATATTGTATTATAATATAATATCATGATTATTAAATATATATATTTTTTTTATTATTATGCATTTATTCATTTTTTAATCCAATTCTGGAATTGGATACTTAAGATAAGAAATCAGATACTTACATAAAATGAAATTTTCAGTTCTGCTTATTGATTTCTGTGTGCGCAATTTAATGTTATTTTTAAATCGTTCAAGCGCACAAATATGCGAAAGAGAACTCAATTCGGCACTTGCGTGCTGTTTTCTATGAGCAAACATCCACACAGAAAGCCGACACTGTGTTCCATGCATAATTTTATGATATCTATGTATGTGTTTACAGACAAATCATATAAAACAGTGAATCAAATCACTCTGGATGGAACTCTGTTCTATCGTGCTTGCAGTCGAGACTCGAGATGATGATGTGAGCTTCTTCACTCCTATTGGTTGTTGCTCGCGAAATTCGTTTCTCATTTGCATAAAGTTGACATTTCTAAACTTTTGTCGCGTGTCTCTCGTCGCTTGACATGCCCACATTCTGTCGCCAACGGTCAATGCCGCTCGTGTTGCCGGAAGTTGCCAGCCCTCCATTGATATGAATGGGATCGTGCCACTTTGTCACTGGCGGTGTGAACGGGGCTTAAATTAGCATATAGGTGTATGTTTTGAATAAAGGAAATTCTCTTTTGTTCCTGTATAGGTGTCAACCCAGAAAACAACTACCCGAATCTCTACAGATTCTTTGTGCAGCTATGGATCTGCCTGGGTCTTGCCTGGTTGTCACTGTTCTTCAGCTGGAATGTGCATATGGTGGTCGAGGCTCATAAAGTGCTGAAAAAAAGGAGGATGAGACGCTACAAGCTGCCCATTGATGACGTCCCGGATAAAAAAGAAGTCAAAAAAGCCCAGAAGCCGCCGGGTCTCAATGGCGCCATCGACATCTTTGAGTTCATGTCTGAGAAAGTCGAAGACTACACCGATGTCATCCAAGCTATCGGAGCAGCCGAGAGAAAGAAAAAGAAGCAGGAGGAAGAACTGGCACGGTCTAAGAGCTGCAGTGACCTATTGCAGGGCCTGATAATCCCACTCGATCACTCTCCTCGACTGAAACGGCGGTTCAGCGTCAGTGCGAACATGCGCATGGACATTTCTGGAGAGTTAACGGATTGCCTCAACAATAACCAAGAGGAACAGGCATTACTGAAAAAGCATCACAGTGTTCAAAAAGACCCTAAGATTGATAAAAAGGGAGTTAAGAGAGCTGAGAAGCCTGGACTCTGTTCATGGGAAACCAGAAAATCTGACCCATCAATCTTTCAGAGCTCTGTTCAAAGCCCTACCGTTACTACCAGTAATAGGGGTTCGAGATTCTCAGTGTCCAAAGTCTCAGAAGACCATTTAGTAGGAAAGAGAAAAAGCATTGGTTGAAGAAGAGACCGATCTTCGATGTCTTCAAAAACAGTTCAGCTCTGCTTTAAATCTGTAGTGAGGGAACAAGATTATCCACGTCTAAAGTATTGAAGACTATTTGTTAAAATGAAATAGCATTGGTTGAAGAAAAAGCTTATCTACAAGGTCTAAAAGACTGATCTACAAGGTTGTAGATCGAAAGGTTGATCCACAAATTCTTCAAAAGCAATTCAGCTCTGCTTTAAATCAGCAGTAGGGGATCAAGATTCTCAGTGTCTAATGTATCAAAGACTATTTGTTAAAGAGAAAAAGCATTGGTTGGAGGAGAGACTGATCTACAAGGTCTGAAAGACTGATCTACAGTGTCTTCAAAATCAGTAGGAGGGGATCAAGATTCTCAGTGTCTAAAGTTTCGGTAGACTATTGGGGAAAAGAAAGGGCATTGGTTGAAGAAGACTGATCTACAAGGTCTGAAAGACTGATCTACAATGTCTTCAAAATGAGGAGTAGGAATCAAGATTTTCTGTGTCTAAAGTTTCACCAGACTATTGGGGGAAAGAAAGGGCATTGACTGAGAAAGAATTATCTACAAGGTCTGAAAGACTGATCTACAATGTCTTCAAAATCAGTAGTAGGAGTCAAGATTCTCAGTGTCTAAAGTTTCGGTAAACTATTGGGGAAAAGAAAGGGCATTGGTTGAGGAAGAATGATCTACAAGGTCTGAAAGACTGATCTACAATGTCTTCAAAATCAGTAGTAGGAGTCAAAAATCTCAGTGTCTAAAGTATCGGTAGAATATTGGGGAAAAGAAAGGGCATTGGCTGAAGGAGAGACTGATCTACAATGTCTTCAAAATGAGGAGTAGGAATCAATATTTTCTGTGTCTAAAGTTTCACTAGACTATTGGGGAAAAGAAAGGGCATTGGCTGAGAAAGACTGATCTACAAGGTCTGAAAGACTGATCTACAATGTCTTCAAAATCAGTAGTAGGAGTCAAGATTCTCAGTGTATTAAGTTTCGGTAGAGTATTGGGGAAAAGAAAGGGCATTGTTTGAAGGAGAGACTGATCTACAAGGTCTGAAAGACTGATCTACAATGTCTTCAAAATGAGGAGTAGGAATCAAGATTTTCTGTGTCTAAAGTTTCGGTAGACTATTGGGGAAAAGAAAGGGCATTGGCTGAGAAAGAATGATCTACAAGGTCTGAAAGACTGATCTACAATGTCTTCAAAATCAGTAGTAGGAGTCAAGATTCTCAGTGTCTAAAGTTTCGGTAGACTATTGGGGAAAAGAAAGGGCATTGGTTGAGGAAGACTGATCTACAAGTTCTAAAAGACTGATCTACAATGTCTTCAAAATCAGTAGTAGGAGTCAAGATTCTCAGTGTCTAAAGTTTCGGTAGACTATTGGGGAAAAGAAAGGGCATTGGTTGAGGAAGAATGATCTACAAGGTCTAAAAGACTAAAGAAAAGACTGATCTACAAGGTTGCATATAGACTGGTCTAAAATGTCTTCAAAACAATTCAGCTCTGCTTTAAATCCTTAATTTTCAGATGTGAAGATCATTAGATTGAACTGATACTAGAGGAGCTAAAAAGAGTAACTTCAAGACCTAAGAATGTTGCTCTGATATGCAGACCGTTGTGAACTCAAGCTGCAAAATTATTAATTTCTTTTCACAGTATTGAAAAACATTCAGGTAACACACATGGTCTTGCAGACAGTCTGCCCAAGATAAGGATATGAGGGTTGGCAGAGGAAATGAAACCGATTTCCTTCCATGCCCTGGACCTTCACAGACTTTGGACAGTTTGGGTGTGGTACTGTGGTTTTAACCATGGGTTTTTCATTCTTTCTCTGGATTTATGTTACCAAAATGACGGCCAGGACAAACATCTGGCTATGTTTGAAATGGAATACTAGCACCCTGCTAACTGTGCAGTATATACAAAGTATGTTATATAAAGTTTTAAAGTAGTTTAAAATAACGACTTTTCAAGCAGGTCTTACAAACACTACTTGGTCGGACCAGATAGCCCTGCCCTGAACTCAAGCCATTGGTTGAGCAAATATTGCTGTATCGGGATGCTCAAGCAAACAGACCAAAGTTTTGATACCATTGCAGTGTTTTACAGTATTGTCAGATGGAAACAGTTAAATATTAAGCTGAAATTGTCAATATCCATATTTAGTATAGATAGATGGAATATTAAATGATATCTATTGAACCGAGAACTTCCCTTTCAAAATAGTTTGTGAAACAGAATGCAGTATGAGTATAATGCTGTTGTTGTCACAACCTCGTATGTAATCTGTGTTTTATCCAGTTATCATTTACAAGTTAAGGTTTTAACCAATTTTATGTAAACAAACAGTACATTCTGATCCCGATAAAATAACTTTTGTTTGAGAAAGGGCTGTTAGAATTGTGCGTTTGATTGTGGTTTCAGTTTATTTCTAGTCAAACTGGA